GCCTCTCTTGTTTTCCTAGCAGAGAGCCAGTGTGGGAAGGCACTAATCCAGTTCTCAAAGCTGGTTTAGTTCTCCGTTGCAGCACTCAGGGTTGACGAGTTGGAGACTGAATTGAGTCTTCCAGTATAAAGTTTTGACTTCACGGAAACATAGGCATAGTGATCTTGTAGCAAATCTGAACAAAAGAACCGTGTGCCCCCAATCCCTTCCCCCCGCCCCCTTTTTTCATTACTATTACCACAGGAAAGGGAGCTCTGGAAAATGGAAGAGAGAGAGGAGGAGATGCGAGGGTGGACGAAAGCCCAATGTCTGTTCAATCATGAAGACCTCACAGAAGAGACATGGAGGAACAAGAGTAGAAAATTCCTTAGAGAAAAAAAGTACATAAGGGAATGAGGATGAATGTAAGGAAATGGATAGGGAAGATTAAAAAAAAAAGTTTTAAATATATCAACCCAAGTCAAGCATTTCTTTCTATCACATTAAAGGGTCCCTACTGGAACTTGAAAATACAGGGTGATCATGGAAAGTGATGAGGTGGTCACATTTTTTTTTTTCACTAAGATTAAAGAACCTGGAATTTAGTTACATTAAAACACTTCTTACATTTATCCTTTCCTCATTTTTATTCCTATTATTCTCCCCCAATTTCAATATTACAAGCCATATCTACACATACAAATGAAATAGGTCAGGAAATCAAGCAGCTTTTAAAATTTTCCCTCCAAGGGAAAGGATATTCTTCAGGGGTTACATTTTCTAATCAGAAACAGAGGGGAAAGCCCAGCAAGGTTGTCTTGTTGAAATAATGGGAAGGTAGCATGAAAATTCATGGTCATGCTGTCACTCTTAGACACAAAATCATCTACCAAATGTACAAGACTTAGTAAAAATTGTATCTACTCTTTTAAAATCCACCTTTGATTTTTTTTTTCTGCCAACATCAAGAATTCCTCCTGGAAACAAACTTATTATTAAGACAGAACCAAGTAAAATGATTGGTATGTCCAGAAAGAATTGCATTTGGTGTTGAGGAGATGAACGGCGACTTCAGATTATGTGGGCACAGGCAGGTGGGATTCAGCATTTTTAACTTCTCTTTTCCCTCCCTTTACTAGACTTCCCTATTTTTCTACGCTTAGTTTCACTAAGCTTCACTTAGCTCACCAGCTTCATAGGGACTGGGCAGGCAGCGCCTATATGATGTCCTGAAAACACATTGCCCTATGTAAACAATTGTTTTTGGCAATTCAGAGGTTTCGTGGTGGGATTGCGTTTTTTTTCTTTCTGAAAATCAAATGTTTAGGCCAAAGTTAGAATTGCATGTGCATTTTTATGACTTGGCATATTCAAACATTACGATTGTATGTTTAAAAAAGGAATTTGATCTTTTTTGCTCTTTCTTCTTTTGGGCTTCCATCTTTTCCTAGTTCCATTGTTTTCTCTCTTACAGTACATTTTCATATCTTGGTATATCTCTTCAGCATCTGTTTCTCCTCAGTCATAATTTTCATTCAAGAATAATAACGCTTTGGTCTCTTTGGACATGTTTTGTTTTGCCCCCACCTATGAACCTCACCAGGGTGTGTTGAAGGTTAACAGCTCCATTTCTGAAATTCTCTTGGATCCCTTTTGGAGAAAAGTGCCAAAGTATATAAGGAAGGCTCAAATGTATCTGGGCTCTGCCAAGTCCTTTGAGGAAGCCTCCACATGGCTGCATCTTCTTCCAGCTTCCTTCTCTTCTCACTGTGCCCAGCGTCTTCATGATTCCACGTAGGAGTTCATGTCTTTTGCTCATGTGGGAAAAGAACCTTTGGATTAATAGAAGAGCCAGAATACTTGCTTATCTAACAACATTCTACCTTGTCTATTAACAGGTAGAATATTGCTTCTCACTTCATTGAGTTTTCTACCCTCTTCCCTTTTCCATCCCATATCGCCCAAGGTCATGAATGTTTCCGTTGCTCATTTTCTAGAGCTTTTGTCAATTGTCAGGGATGACCAGAGTTGCTCAAAGAGCTTTTCCCACAATTGCTGAAATAGTAGAAAGATTAGGTGACTGATAAAAGCATTGCTGGAAACGGTTGGAGGGACCTTTTAGCAGTGTTTTGCTTGAGGGGCATTGGGTCTCAGGGTCACTCCATTAACATCGTATCTATCCTGTAACATATGTCAAGCAGTTTGCTTCAGTTGTGACTTTCTGTTGCAAGAGGCAGTAAACTCAACTCAAAATGACTCAAACCAAAAGATATTTTAGTGGCTTGTATAACTGAAAAGCTCAGGGGCGGGCTGTTTTCTTGTGCAGCTAAATGTGGGGCTCAGATGGTATTATAAGGCTGCTGGTTTCTCTCTATAGATCTCTTGGCTTTTCTCTCTTTAGTGTTGGCTCATTCATAGGCAAGCTCTCCCCTCAGACTCACAAGACGGCTGCAGAGGCCCAAGAACTTATATCTTCTCAGCTTCATATCTATAAGGAGTCCTTGCATTCAGTCATTTGAGAGTAGAAGGGTTAGCTTCATGAAACTGGATTTCCAGTTCTGGATAAAGGAGCACTCCTGGAGATTAACCAACCCTGGAGCCATCCTACCTTAAGACTTGTGATCTGAGACAATAACTTGTTCTTATTGATTAAGCTATTTTGTTAAGTTTTCTTGTTAAAAAGGAATTTATCTTTTTTGCTGTTTCATCTTTTGGCCTATACTTTCTCCTAGTTCCATTATTTTCTCTTATACAGTACATTCAGCTGAAAGCATCCAAATGATATGGTCATACTGGCTCTAGTTGGGTCATGTGCCCATTCCTGACCCTTCACAATGGGAATGTGAAGTGTGATTGGCCTCAGCCTAGATGCCCAGTCCACTTCTGCAGTGGAATGGGTTTATCCCACCCAACTACATGGACTGAGCGTGGAGGAAGAGGAACATCTACTGGGAAATGAGCATATGGTTTCCATAAAACAGTAAATAGATATTGTGAAGCAAAAATATCAAGTGTCCAGTAGTTCATCCTTTTGAATGTGCTTTTTATTACACAGTGACCTCAGATTGTCAGTATAGTGAGTAGGGAGTATGTATTTCGTTCCTTGGTCTGGTAGCCCAGCATATATAACTTTGGAGATGTTTTGACAAAGATCTGCTATGCAATTGATTCATCTCAATAACCTATAAATACTCTTCCTCAGTTAGGGCCTCATAACTCTAGCTTTGAAACATCAGCCATTTCAAGGTCATGCAAAGGAAAATGTGGCCCATGGCCAAGACAGACAAAGCCTTGAGTTGCAGGATAATCCAGTGCTCTCTAAAGGATACTAGAAAACCCAGGCAGCTATTTAAGCAGCATGTACCATCCCATAGGCCCCATGGTTTTCTGGCCCCCTTCTCTCACACCCCTTGAAGTTCAGTTGGTCCTATGGCTCTCAGAGTCAGCCTGCTATGCAGAACAGTGGGGCCTCAGGTCAGGCTGTGTCTACTGATTTCAATTCTGCTGTTGGCTGGAATTCTATCTGTCAAGAAGGTTTTACAGTCAGCCATTTGATAGTGGAAGAGTTAGCCCATGAAACTGGATTTCCTGCATATCTGGAAAGAGGAGCACCCCTGGAGATCTGAGATGCTCTGTGAAAATTAGGGGTTAGTTTTTACTATTCCCAGTTAGCCTCTGCTGAACGTAGTGTATTTCAACATTTGAGGATTAAAAAAACACACATATACATACACACATAAAGAATTTCTCTATTTTTCATTATGAACTTAAGTAACTTCATCAAGAGAATCTAATCAACATAAAACTATTTACTTCCCTCCAAAGTAATTTCCTCTCTGTCAGTGCACAGACATGCATTTTTACTTAGTTATAATTAGTGTGAATATACTCGTTTTTGTTTAAGAAAGATTTTCTTTACTTTGGCATTCAGATTTGTTTTCATAGGCGAAGAAAACACTGAGAAAGAGAAGGAACCTTCACTGGTGAGTTGGGAGGATTATATGGAGTCACACTATCCTCAAGTTAAAGAAACCTTAAAGGACCCAGAATCCCTCCCCATATCTCTGGTAACCACCCTTCTAAACTAATAGACTCACTGGAGGGGCTTTCCGCGACACGGACCTCTCCAGATCTCACTCCTCAGCACCAAGGGTGGACTCTCCCTTCTCAAGGAAGAATGCAATCCCATCCTCCCATCTGTAGGGTCCACTTGTCTGTCCTGGGCCTGCACCCTTGCCTCCTGCTCTACTGTGTTGTAGGGTCATCCAAATAGTTTCCCATGCAGGCAGAAAGCAGAAATGCTGCTGTGGGACAGTCCTCTATACCATTCCCCTCAAATGTCTTTTTTTTAAAAAGTGTAATCATACACCAATAGTTTCCAATCTATCAAAGCATAAATTTGACAGTCCTTTTTCCTAAGTCAAGGAAGTAGCCAAGCTAGGTTTAATTAAAACCAGCAACTGTTTGTACAGCTGTCCTTGGGCTTATGGATCCTAAAAGGATTTAGCTTCAAACTCTGCTGCCTAAGTCCTCTGGGAGTTTCACACAAAACCACTGAGGCTCCTCTTCTGGGCAGCGCCAGGCTCACGCTTCCCAGGGTGCCTCCGGAGCAGGCCCTGCCCGCTCTGCCCTGATGCCACTTCGGAGGTCAGGCTCTCCAAGCACGTGTGGCATGGAGCAAAGAAGAGACGAGCGGAACTTCGACATACACAAGTCCCCTTCTTTTGTTTTGGGGGACAGGAGGCGTTGATGGCTACTCCAAGAAGTTCCAGAAAATTCCCCTAGGGTTGGTAAAGGGAGGGTGGAGGATCAGGCACAGTCTTTCTTTTGTGAGCTTTTCTCTGGCTTCTCACACTTTCGCCCCCGGGTGGGTCTTTTACACGCGGCCCACACCCCCAACCCCCATGGCGTGAATGGTCACTGGCAGGCGTCCTTCAAAGGAGATGGGGGCGGGGTATCCCTGCGGAGAGATGCATCCGCAAGTGGCATGTGCTTCCTGTGCTCCCAGCAAAGCCCTGGAGAGGAGGAAGAACCAGCGCTCAGCATCTGGCTGATTTTCAAGTGCACGCGGAGCAGCGCTTCAGGCAGCCTTGGGTCGGAACAAGCCCGCTCGGACTTAAGCAAATGCAGAGGCCAGCACGAGTCACCGACGGCGGGCCCGGGGCGGGGCCGGCCCCACACGCTGAGAGGCAAGGAGGCCGAGAGGCCGCGGGTTAGGAAATGTGACCTTGGCGACCCCGAACGCCTCCGCCTCCCTCGCTCGCTGCTCCACCTGCCCACGGAGTGCGCCGAGCCGCTGGCGGAGGCGATGGCTAGCCCTGCGCCCTTAGTGGCCTCTATCAACCACCAAATGGTGGCTCTGCAGACCCTGCAGCTGCTGCAGCAGGAGTGGGGCTGGGGGGACGGTCCGGGCGCCCCCGGGAGCTTGCGGGACCCGGACCACGTGTCCGCCGCCCCAGCGCGTCGCTCAGGCCCGCGGCGGGCCAGGCCCGGGCGCGAGGAGGGGGGCGGGGACAAGGGGGCCAGGAATGCGGGGTCGGGGACTCGGGGGAGCTTCCCCGAGGTGGAAGAGGTGCGAGGCGCCGAAGGGGGCGCGGAGCTGCTGCCCTTCCCCCGGGGCCGCGGGCCCTGCAGCCTGGCCCGGATGGCGATGCGCAGCGCGCTGGCCCGCGTGGTGGACTCGACCTCGGAGCTGGTCAGCGTGGAGCAGACGCTGCTGGGCCCCCTCCAGCAGGAGCGGTCCCTCCCCATCCACCTGAAGGTGAGTCTGGCCTCCAGCATCCCCTGTCAGGCGCAGGATCCCCTTGCAGGGAGTGGCTGCGGGGTCGTGATGGAGACGGGGTGGGGCCACAGGATCAGAAGCGGAGCTGCTGACAGCGATTCAGCCCCCTGGAGGGGGAAGGGAGGAGGTGACACTCTGGGGACTGGGCACTTGGGAAGTCGGGGTCCACCTGGGGCCCACCTGACTGCGGAAAAGAGATGCAGAGAGGCCTTGCCAAAATCTTCCTCTGGAACTCCTTCCTCTTGCACATAAATCAGCTTCCTGCTCCAGCTGAAGGCCCTTTCCACATGTGCTGCTTCTAAGGATCTAAGAATGGAGGGCAGCTTCCCCTACTCCCCTTCCAAATTAATAACTATTTCTCTAGAGCCTTAAATATACATATTAAGTTCCCTCTGCCTTTTGTATGACGAAATCACCTACATTTATTTAAAGTTCCTTCACACTTATGAATCGCAATTATTTTTGCATAAATCCAATTCCCCACAGAGCTCAGGGGTCTTACAGAGTCAACCTAAATTCTCATAAAGTGGGGTGAGAGCCGGTGGGCCCCGGGTGTTGAAGCGTGAATACTAATACTAACTCCTGCTAAGTCACGCGGCTCATATTTGTAGGGCACAGTTTCCTTTTAAGGTACCAAACTGTGTTAGCCAATTTAGCCAGGGAATAGAGCAGCTGCCTCCCAGGCTGAGTGGGAACGTGGAAAGTCTGGGGGTCTGGGATCCAGTCTAAATCTTGCTGTTAACTAACCTAATTGATTTCAGGTCACAAATCTCTCTGAGACCTTCTGGCTTTCCAATTTTGACCTGGAGCATTGCTTCATTCATTTCCCTTGGGAGTCTAGCAGAAGGAAATGGGGGAGGGATGATGAAGAGAGCTGGGAGCACTTCTCAGGAGTTGCTATTCTTGCTCTACAAGCCAAGATTTGGAAAAAATTGTTCTATATTAGGTTGCACTATACACTGTAAAAGATTAATTTAAAATCAAATGTAATAAAGCATATCATACTCCCCAATAAGTATTGTTACTCTAGACTAGGATTTCTCAGGCTCCACACTATTGACATTTTGGGCTGGATAATTGTCGTGGGGGGTTGTTCTAGGCATTATAGGATGTTTAGCAGCATCCCTGGCCTCTACCCGGTAGAGGGTATTCCCTCCCCCAAATCGATACAGCCAAATATTGCCAGATGTATGTGGGGGGGAACAAGATCACCTCCAGATGCGAAGCACTGTTCCACTCACTTTAGAAAGTTAAAAAAATGAAGCTGCATTTCCCCAGTGCTTTCGAGTGTAAGATGCACCTTTGTTTGTACCACTAAGAAATAAAAAATCTTGGGGCGGGCCCGGTGTCGCAGTGGTTAAGTGCGCGTGCTCTGCTGCCGCTGCCCGGGGTTCGCAGGTTTGGATTCCCGGCGTGCACTGACGCACCGCTTGTCAAGTCATGCTGTGGCGGCCTCCCATATAAAGTGGAGGAAGATGGGCACGGATGTTAGCCCAGGGCTAATCTTCCTTGGCAAAACAAGAGGAGGATTGGCGTTGGATATTAGCTCAGGGCTGATCTTCCTCACAAAAAAAAAAGAAAAGAAATAAAAAATCCTGCTGATTAAACTACAACACACCATCAATTGTAAGATACACTCTCATTTCAGAGATTTTTGAAATGTGAAAAACTGTGCATCTCAGACTTGGTGAAATATGAAGTTCTATGTGATGTTAGGAGCATATCCAGGGCACAGGTGGGCTGGCAAAAGGAAAGACTGAGTGATCAGTTTTACCTGAGATGATCCTGGAAGGCTTCTTGGAGGAGATAACCTTTAAATGAATGTTTGTTCTCCAAGCATTAAAGGGAAAAAGCATTTCAGAGGAGCTATGTGATTCAAGGCCCAGAAGCAATGAAAGGGCCTGGGGCTTTGGGGGAACTAAAATTAGTTCACTGTGGCAGAAGGCAAAAAATGGTGCTGGTGCTGGAGCAGTAAGTGAGGTCGGATGGCGGAAGGCTTGCCTGTCATGCTGAGGACCTTGGATTGTCTTACCAGCAAAAGGTAGCTGTTGAAATGACTGAGGCAAGGACTGGAGCCTAGAAAAGCCACGAGAGGCAAGGCTGCAGCTTGGGGTCAGGTCAGAAGATTGTCCGAGGCCTGACCCAGCTCAGTGGCAGTGCCGTCCTCTGCTCTGGACAACAGATCATGCTACGTGTGCTGAATGCAGCTGTCACTTGTACTTGGTAATCCTTTTAACCCTTTCTACTTGATTGTTTTGTCCTAAACATTTTACCCCCTCCTCAAACTTTCTTCATCTAGACCTCAACCCTCTCATTCCTTTTCTGAGAAAATTGAGGCCATCTTCCATTCTGCCTAAAAAATCTCATTTCCACTCATCTCTCTTGTCTCTAATAAAGAAATACAGTTTGGCTCCCACCCCACCCCCCAAAGTAAATTCTTTCTCTTAAGTACTGGAGCAAATCTTTCATCTGCCCCAGACCTTTTTCTCTCAATTCCCTCCTCTCTCCGTATATTTTCTATTGCCTCCAATCTACCGATTCTTCTTAGTCTGTAAACGTGCTCAAATCTTCCTTCACCTACCCAGGCCCTTGAGTCACTGTCCTTTTCTTCTCTATCACCAGCAAACATGCAGACGTCTGGGTGTGTTGCTGCCAGTGTTTGTAGAGGTGTCCACAGTGCTGATTAGGAACAGGGATCTTCAACCTTCTTGCTGCTGGAGGCTGCCGTTCACTTGCGTTTTAGGGCTCCTCAGGACAGCCAGTGCTTTCAGAAGGCAGAGAAGCAGGGGGAAGTTTCTCTGGGTGATTTGCCTCCTGGCCAACATCTTGGAAGTTTGGTTTGCTGTTTGGAGAAAAGGTAGCATCTCCATCTGGTGTGTAGAGTATTGATTACAAAGCACTTAGACTTAAGGACACGGCAATCTGTCTTTCCAGGGAGCTGGATATGCAGACTTGTCTTCATTAATATTAGTGTCAATTCAAATGATTTGGATAAGTGTTTTCTATATTTTTAAAATAAGAACATGCAGATGGATTTTACATACTAGAATTGTTTCAGGATGATTTGTGCTAATGGAAATAACATTCGTGTATCACTTGGAAGTGTGTGGAAATTTCCCCAACATCAGGTCTCTCCCATAGTGTTACTTGCCACAGAGAAGAGGAAGACTCGCTGGAACTAAAGCCTGTAGCCCAATGATAGGTGTTAGAGACCCTGAAATAGAGATGGCACAGCACAGGACAGCGATGATCGAGTCCCATGGAGCATTTCAAACCTGCTCTGCCACTTCCTGCTGTGGGCCCTTGGGCAAGTTAGTTAGCTTTCCTGTGCCTCAGTCTTCTCACCTGTAAAGTGGAGATAGTGATATCTAACCTTATAGGGTTCTTGAGATAATGCATATATAGTCTTAGCTAGTGGCTGCCCATAGTAAGTCACAATATTTTTGAGCTTTATTATTATCATAATTATTATTAACAGGTTGATGCCTCATGAATTCTCATTGACTATTATTATTGTCAATTCCATTCTTGATATTGATGGATCTGACCCATGAACTCTGTATTTACTTTTCTTTTTTTTTTTTTTTTTTTTTTTTTTTAAAGATTTTATTTATTTATTTTTCCCCCCCAAAGCCCCAGTAGATAGTTGTATGTCATAGCTGCACATTCTTCTAGTTGCTGTATGTGGGACATGGCCTCAGCATGGCCAGAGAAGTGGTGTGTCGGTGCGCGCCCGGGATCCGAACCCGGGCCGCCAGCAGCAGAGCGCACGCACTCAACCGCTAAGCCACGGGGCCGGCCCTGTATTTACTTTTCTGAGACCAATGATAAAAGCAGAGTTAGGATAACCCAAAGAGACTTCTAGGAGGCCTCCACTATCCAGAGGTCAGCTTCAGCCCATGTTGAATGATTGACTTAGAGACATTGCCATCAAGTGACTCACTGATCAAACCACTGAGGATTAAGGAAGTGAAATTTTCAGACATGAAGGCAGAGAAACCCTCATCATGGTAGTAATGGATATTTTTAAACAATTTTACTCTTTTCTTAAAGAAACCAACACTTAATATTCCTTTTGAACATTTAGAGATTATCACACACATGAAAAAAAAACCATGAAATGAGTTTCTTCGTGGTGGGTAAAAAATGCTTAACAGCACAGAGTCTTGTTAAATTTGGTGGAGAGGGTGGAGTTAACCGGCTTGACAGACATTTATTACAGGAAGAAACTGAGGCTCAGAGGAATTTAGGACTTTGCTGAAGATCTGGCAGCTGGGAAGTAATGGGCCATGATTCAGACATGGTTTTATGTGACTCTTTCTACCAAATCACAGTGCTAGCTCAATGGGGTGTTATGAACATCACGCTGAAATGAAGTCCACGAGAGTGCACGGTTGACAGGGCGTAGTCATACATGCCGTGCACTGCACACTCTTTTGGTTGCAATGGTCACGTTGTAGACTGGGTATCTTAGTCAGCTCGGGCTGCCGTAACAAAATGCCACAGACTGGGTGGCTTAAACCACAGACATTTGTTATCTCACCATTATGGAGGCTGGGAAGTCCAAGATCAAGGTGCAGGTAAATTTGGTTTCTGGTAAGGGCTCTCCTCCTGGCCTGTAGACTGGCACCTTCTCGTGTGTCCTCACATGGTCTTTCCTCTGTGCATGTGGAGAGAGAGGTCTCAGATGTCTTTTCCTCTTCTTATAAGGATACCAATCCTGTTGGATTAGGGCTCCACCCTTATGACCTCATTTAACCTTAATTACTTCCCTAAAGGCCCTAGCTCCAAATATAGTCACATTGAAGTTTAGGTTTTCACATATGAATTTGGGGAGGACCCAATTCAATCTATAACATTGGGTGATTTGTGTGCCTCCTTATGTAATGGCCACCTTACATTGTGCCAAAAAGCACCAGGTAAACGTAGGAAATCATTGTCAAACTGGTAATACTAGCAAGGATGCTTTAGGCACATGC